TTACTGACAACTCTCAGTCAAGTAAAGTTGAACTTCTTTATGCCTGTCCTCATCTGAATTTCTTGGATGGACAACTTAGTCAAAGACACGAAGTCCTTCTGCTGATAATTTTTTATCGGACAGAACTGAACTTTTTTATGCCCTTTATGCTTTTCTTTTCATTAATACTGATTACATCTCTTGATGTGCCACTGTGATGGATTCCTCAAATCTTTGACACTGCGCCAATACTCACGAAAACTGTATCTCACAGTTATTCCCCACTCTCAGGGGCTTTGACACCTATGGATCAACTGTAGCTTGCACCAAAGATATAGTCTCGCTAACTCTGTAACTTGCTGAAAAGAAAATTAATTGACATGCTGAAATTTGAAATGCTGAATTGACCATGCAAAAACGATCAGAGTCTGCTGAAAACCGAGTTTTGTTGGCTCACTGTCTTACTCCACTCTCTCTCAGTTCTCCGAAATTGTTCTCTTACTTGGATGGTTGACCCCTCTTTCCTCTCTTTGTAGTGACTGTAGGGATCAGATCAGGGTTTCTGAATGTGAACTTACAAAGTCTTGACCCTGAGACCATGTCGTGAACCCCGGATCCGTCCATCTCTGAAATCTCATAGACTTTGCCTTCTGCTTCTCCTGTGATTCTGTAAAGACCAAGTCATCTGGACTCCAATCGTTTAGTCCATTGAGTCTCAAGCTATCAAACTCGAGGACAACGTTACAAACTTTCAATTTCTCTTTTCTTATATAATTTTTCGTGTTCCATCTCTCTTGATCTGATAATCTGTTGGATGTCATTCTCTCTGCGACATCCATAACTGTTTGATCAACCTGTTATATTTGTCTCATTCTGATTTGAAGAAACTCTGAAATAGAGTAGTGTTTGTCACTCTCTTGACTTGACCATGTCTTGATAATGTTTTGAATAGGTAAGGTAGCATATCGACCATAACAATGAAGCATAACCAGTAGTCCTCCTGACAGTTATGTTGTCAGCATATACAGCAACCCTTGGTACTTCAATATAGACAGATTCTTTAATAGTTCCCTCAATATCTTCTTCTTCATTTTTTCCCCATTCAATTCGACTTCGGCCATCTGCTCTGTTCTTCTCAGTTGGAATATTTTCCAAGACAAAATCAAAGGTCCAAATGAAGGTTTTCCATCTGCTTACTGTTGGATCTGCTTAGTGGTGCTTCTCAATTGCACCAATCACATCAGATGCATCATTTCTCAAAGGGAATCTCCTCCCAAAGACATAGTGTCTGAAGCACCTGAGACAAATGATAATGACAAGAAGCTCTTTCTTGAACTAGGTGTACCCTCTTTCTGTGGAGTTGAGAGTCCTGCTCTCAAACCTCAGAGGTCTTTCTCTATCATTTTCATCCTTCTTTATGAGTACACCACCTAAAGCAACTTGTCCACCATCTGTCTCGATGATGAAATGTCTTCCCTCCTCATCATCATAGAAAGACATTCCCAACACAACACCACCATCTTTTAAATTTTCTTGTAAAGTTTCTGCAGCAGTCTGCCTTTTCTCAGTCCAAGATAAATCATCCCCTTGTCTCACCATTTCTCTCAAAGGTTCTGCAAGAGTAGCAAAATGAGGTATGAAAAGTTTTCAGAACCCACAGACACCCAAAAAGTTCCTGACATCTGTTACCTGTTTAAGCGGTAGAGAGCAGTTCAAAATTTTGTCTATCTTCTTGGGGTCGGGCGTCCTACCCTTGGAGAAATATCTAAAACTCAAAATGGTGACCTCAGCTTGGAAGAGAAACGACTTTGGTCCACTGGCAGTGAGATTATATTTCTGAAGTCTCTCTAGGACAAGCTTTACACCTTCAGCATGCTCCCAGACAAACATCCTGACGCCATTCCCAACCAAAGTCTCGTCTCTTACCATAGGTTCTTTCACAGGATTATCATCAATATAGGGACTCGTTATCTCAAATGAGATATCCTGCACGACTTTGATCATATCCCTTTGAACCACTGTCACACCATTAGTCCAACCTTGGGGCACCACACACATCTGAATGAGGCATCTTGGCGTGTGCATGGTAGTCATAGGCCTGCTAGTGGGATCAATGAGAAACTGATCATAGCCAGAATACAAATCAATTAAAGAATAAATGCATCAACCAGCAAAAGATTTAGAAGAGAGATCAGCATTAGGGAGACTACCTGCATCACGTACCGTTACTGAGTTGAACTTCTGGAGATTTTGTATCCATCTCAATCCGCCCCCTGGTTTCCAGAAGCAAAACCAGTGGTTAGCATACGGTCGATCATGAGGTTCAGCAACATTGGAGGCAATATTTTTGTCAAGATACTTTACCACTTCCGCCTCTTCTTTCAGGGCATACTTAATTGGTCTATCATTCCACGGGATGTGATTAACTGTATAAATTTTTTCCATCTTAATCATATCCACATCCAACCACCCTCTTTCTTTATCATTAAAAGAAAATGCACCAGAAAACTCTTGACACACCTTGAAGATATATTTATTTTCTTTAGGTAGGATAAATTGATCAGAGTCTATCTTCATAATGTCAAACCTTTCCCTGATGACTCTATTCCCGAATTTTGCACACCCCCTTAATGTTTTGATAATTCTCCTTTCCTTTTCCAGTGCCTTGTCATATTTTTTTTTTATTAGGAGTGCCACTGGGTTATTTTTCACCCCCTTGGGCTTATACTTTCTTTTTTACCCAGTGCACCCCCTATCCCATCTTCACGTCAATACTCCTACTAGTGCACCCCCTATCCTACTATCCTACCTTAGTGTGACCAGCACTCAGGACCATTACCCTACCAATGGGCAGGTAACTCGGAACAACAGTGATAGGCTCCACCAAATGTGGTAATTGCAAACAACAAGTAAAATACTGAAAATATTCTATCCAGCTTTCTTTGCACGAGCATGCCCAGTGTTAAGGAGAGGAGGAGAACAAAGATCTCCTTACTTTTTCAGGTAATACATGTAAAATACTGATTGTGGGATCACAAGTTCTGCATGGAAGGATTTGGGTCACTTAACTGCCGCACAAACTCGTTTCTATCCTATCCCGTTGCTAGTGCGACCTCACCACAGTTAAATTACACTTGGGGCCAAAACAAGTTTTAAGTTGCACTTTAGGCAATGTATACAAGCCAGCTCTCCAGTCAGGTACATTGCACAATATACATTGCCCACAGTGCAATTTGAAACTCTTTTTGGCCCCAAGTGTGATTTCAAATTGTTTCCATGACTCCCGCATAGTTCCCCCCCCCCCAAAAAAAGGAAGGTGACACCCCTGATTTCACCACCCCAGTATTCTCACCACTTCCAAATTCAGCATGCTACTACAAAACTACAAAACTAAAGAACTCGTTTAATAAAAAAAAGACACCCACCACCCCATAGTCCGTGACTCACGCAGGCGGGGCGATGGGTCGCGTTCATTTTTTTTGTGCCACATGGCGCGTGGCACGTTTGAACACATTTCAATGCAGTACCCGCGTGTTTGAATGCGCGCGTTCACCACCTTCAGATGGTTGCACAGCACGCACGCACGCATGCACGCACGCACGCACGCACACACACACACACACACACTCACACACACACACACGGGGCCCAACCCGCTGTTTTTTGTTTTTTTTACAATTTCTTATTTTCTGATTTATTGATTGATTGAGTGATTGAGTGATTGGTGGGGAAGGGGTGGCCCTTCCCCTTTGCACATGCACACACACACAAAAAAAAAAAAAAAAAAAAAAGAATAATCCATTTTTATATTACGTTTCTTTTGATTAAAATACTTGTTTTTCGGTTTTCTAAAAAAAAAAAAAAAAAAAAAAACTTTATAATCCAAGACAAAAAATATCAGGTTTTAGGTATTTTCAAACCCTACAACCCTATTTTTTTTGGTTTCTTTTTTGGTCCATTAATTTATTTGTTCAAAATATGTGAAAATCTCGGCCACACCCAACCACAGGGGCCATGGCCTGCTGTAGGGATCCCGACCGCAATCTGAGTTTCAAATCCGAGTTTGTATTCATAGGCCAGGGGTTGAGGGGATTTGTAATCTATGATGTCAGAGTTAATTTATAAGAATGGACCAAGGACTAACTGGATCAGACTATAATCATATCACTCGGGTGACTCGGGTGCAGTTACTTCAGGATGGAGTCCATGTATGTATGGACTTCTGAATCACGTAGAGCTATGTGCGTTCCATCCACTGTCTGTTCCTGGGGAGAGAGAAAACTTTTTAACCGATAGAAGAATCTGATGTGTATCACCTGTTCGATGTTAGTAGTTGTTAAATGAGATGACGTTCAAGGCTACACCCGGCGCCCCAGGCCGCCGGAGTCCCTTCTCGTCCGTGGCTGTTGGAACTTGATTGATGTTTTGATTGTTGCCTTGCGGAGTGGGCTCATTTATAATAATACAAAAGTCCTTCAGGAAATCAAAAGGGACTATGTCGCGAAATACCCATGAAATTTGCTATTTCGGTAAAATACCCCTCAAAAATGTCCGTAGAGTTGAAAAACCCTCTGAATTTTCTCTCCCCTTTGAAAATCTTGGACCATTTCTGGATTTATGACTGTCATCCTTGCACAGGGCCGTTTTTGTGAAATTCCAGAAGTCTGTGAAATGCCCTTTTGATTGAATTAAACTGTTGGGACAGGGTTGCCGTGTTTGTGGTATACACCTGTCAGGGGCAGAATGAAAACTTGCCGCTCCACCTGACAGGGATAAATCGCAAAGTTTTAAATCCAAAAGGGCATTTCACAAGCTCCTGAAATTTTTTCCATTGAAGTTTCAGAGGGGTGTTGCCATCTTCCCACATCTTTTGGGGGGTATTTCAGCATAAGGGCACAAATTTTCGTAAAAAGAAAATACAGGTACGAAATTCAATGAATACGAAGAATAGAAGACGAATAAGAAAAATTAGGAACATTGATTGCGTGCTTATCTTGTCTGAGGAAAACGAGAATATTCCTGGCGGAGAATTCCATTTACTCTTCGTGCCGGGCGTTCACGCCCAAGCGAGTACAAAGGCTAAGTGTGTCTATTCGTTAAAAAAGCGCTGAGAGACAGTAGCGCCATGAGATCGAGAACCAGCGAGCGGAAACACAAAAAAAGGCTCATACCAATTTCTGGGAAGAGCAAAGCATACACTCTAAGGAAACCAATCAACTCGTGCTGCGCACAGAAGGACTCCAATAATGACAGTGGGGGGGCACGCGAACACTTCGATACAAGGCACTACGCTCCAATTTCAAGAAATTTAACATATGCAGGAATTCACATTGTAAAAGACGATTCTTCATATTCCCGCTAATATCCCACTTCGTTCCTCCGCGGTCGAGATACTCCTGTCGGTGTCGACTCGCACTCTGAAAATGTGCGTCACACACGAACACATGGAGCAAGCGAACGACCAAGACAGCTAGCGAACAAAAGAGAGAGAGAGAGAGAGAGAGAGAGAGAGAGAGAGAGAGCACTAAGTAGTATGCCTTGCTGTTCGCTACGCCCATCTACTTCATCTTTGCGCAACAGTTCTCGCACTCGGCTTGGGGTCTTCCCCACCACTGGAAGTGCTACATGCCAGCGTATTCTTTTTCACGTTTCGAAATTACATGGCGTGGAAACTCGCTCGCCTGCCCAACATTAAATACGTACTATATATAATTACAATGATCGTTGACTGACCAGTTCCACAACTGGCTAGGCTTTCTATTGAGCTCCATCAGCAAAGGACAATACAATGCAGCTGTGGACCTATACATTAATCCACTAATTACAATGATCGTTTGTACACACACACGTCCGATCCCCTCTGTCAGTGATGTCGCCATGCTGAGCCCCTCCCCGTCGCTCATTCTGCTTCTCTCCAAGTAGCTTGCTGATGTCGAACGACCTCCCGCCCTGTTGTTGACGCCTGGTTAACTCAGCTTCGGCACTGCTCACATTACGACTTTCTGAACTGGATCTCGCTGCATTTGCCGCCAGATGCTCCAGAAACGCTTTAGTACGAGTATGCCCTTAGCACTTCTTCCACTGCAGAGTAAAATCCTGGTCGTCGATGACGATCGAGCCCGCGTTGTTATTCCTCGGCGGGGCTGGAGATACTACTGTTAACACGGCATTGATATTGAGCGTCACCAACTCACTGCCACACGGTGGATAGACAAATGTTGAGAACTGGTCGGTGAGCTTAAACCCGTCGTTCGAGGGAGGAGGCAACTCTCGCAAGGTTGTGACTGTCCCTGGGATATCTGAGAAGAAGTACTCGGTTTCCAGTGAACCCTCGACGCCTTCCTCTAAGATGGCGTACCCGCTGTGTGTCACAGTCTCCAGAGTATACACGAACCCAGCAGGATAGATCATGTTGACGCCCACTTGGCAGTGTTTCTGCCGGTCAGCTGGACTTCCTGGGGTGAACGCGCTGAAGTTGGAGAAAACTAAAACGAACGCCGATCCGTCTGCGGAGGCTACGGCCCTGAAACTTCCAGGTGGACACCCAGTGCCAGAATAGCTGAAACTCTCGATCTTTACCGTGCCAGATGGCGGACTTTGAGCAAGTCCAGGAACGGCAAGCTGGAGAAGCGCCAGCAACAGCACGACCATCATGGCCGCCATCGTAGACACGGACTCGAAAACCGTGTGCCTGATCCTCTTCGTCTTCGCCTTTCGTCTCACCTTGCTACTGTCTCCGCGCCCCCGGCAACAGATGAGCTGTTCCGGCGACGGCAGCAGATAACACCTCCCCACTTCGCCGCTCCCGGAGCTGTTCGCCTGGAGTCGCCGCCTCCTCCCTCTCCTCGACGGAAATGCCGTGGAAGAAGAGATACCGGACGCCACCTCTCGCCGCTCCCGCCTGCGATCCCCAAAGACCACCACGATCACTAAGCAGATCGAAGCGCGCTGTACCTAGAGTGCACCTTAATGCGCCTTTATACGCAGCCGGAGGTGAAGTTTGCCTGTCCCCCCAGCACAGCGCATCAACATCACAAAAAAGGCATGCACCTGTGTAAAGTGGGTGCGGTCGGTTCGAGGAGGAAAGCGGCTGACAGGCGTACCCTCTGGCGGTGTGGAGACGACATGACGATCAAATAAATTTAGCGGAAGATAAACTGGAAAGTCGACCCAATTCGACAAGTCGGGTGTCGAAAAGAGAAAAAGGAGGAAGGTTGCCCCTCGCTCCGCTACTCTTGATTTGGCCCGAGCACGGATCAGATTTTAAACTGTTTTGTAAAAAGATATTAAACTGTCAGGACAGCGGTCTTGATTTGGCCATTTCTGTCTCTAGATCTTTCCTGGCTTCCTTCAGATGGTGAGCCTTTGGCTCGTAAGCTAAACTGGCTGATGCTGCCAGGTTACACCGGGTTGAATTGTGAGGTCCCCGGCCTCGGTTTGAACTGTTATAATTGAAGGGTTTTCTTTAAAAATAAAAAAGAAAAAAAAAAAGAAAAAAAAAAGATATTGAACTGATCAGAACACATACTACACTTGATCTTAGCCAAAAGGCCGAGAATACTCTCGACATGCACAAAAGACAAAAATCATGGAAGAGTCACGCTTGTTTTGCACATTTCGAGAGTAGCCAGAGCGAGGCCCTCTGGAATGCCTCTTCTGCTTCTCGTTCCTGTCGGACCCCATTTATCGTTTTTCCATCCACTTGCAGATCATCCACCTGCCCTTTGTCTGGCAGCAGGGAACCTACTCCTTCGCGGCAGGGAACATACTCCACCTAAAAGCAACAAGCACGTGAGAATTTTTTATGTTTTTTTCTTTTCGTTTTGGAAACTTTTCGGAATGCCCCTCCAATCCGTTTATTTGCGGCATGCCCCTCAGACGGCCGACTTACCCTGTCGTGCCCCTCTGCAATGATCCGGCGTCCTTTAAGCCTGAAATATGTGGTCCCTATTCTCCTTCCCTCCCTCCCTCCCTCCCTCCCTCCTCCCTCCCTCCCTCCCTCCCTCATCCAACTATCCATTCCATTCCATTTGTGCATTTCCTGATCTCTACTTCATTCAAAGATTTTAAATATGTGGTCCCTATTCACGGATTTCACGAGAGTGAATCAATCTCCCCCTGCTTCCTTCGTCTCCTCCCTCCTCCCTTTCTCCCTCCCTCCCCCTCCTTATTTTCCTCATCTAACCATCGATTCCATTCCATCCATGCTTCTCCCGATCTCTGCTTCATTCACACCTCCCTCCCACCCTCCTTTCCTTCCTTCTTCCCGCCCTTCCTCTCTCCTTTACTCCTCCTCTTCCTCCTGCGAAGTCCTGCCTCCTTCCATCTTTCCCTCCTCTCCTCCTTCCCTCCCTCCCTCCCTCCCTCCCACCCTTCCTCCCTATTCACACCTCACTCCCTACTGACACCTCCTTGCCGCCCTTCCTCCGTACTCACACCTGACGAAAAACCAATCAAGAAAGATCACGTGGACCGACGGACCGACCTTTTTCCCCCGAATAGAACTTTTCCCTCGAATCCAACGGGAAAAGTCATAAAACCTGCCCGCGACCAAAGCTTTGTATCCATTTTGCCCCCAAACAAGAGAAAAACTGCCGCAGGTCCAACATCACTTGCCGTGTCATTTTTGCACCCTAGCTGGCCCGGTAACGGCCGCTTTGTAAAAATGGCGGGAAGGTGTTTTGCACGGTGCAAAAATGACGCATAAAGTGATTTTGAGGTCTCCTGCGCCTTTTTCCCCGTCTGGGGAGAAATGGATACAAAGGCTGGGGCGTCGTGGGGAGGTTATGACTTTTCCCGGATGGTCATTATCACTGTTAGGAGACTGAAAGTTGCCTCAAATACTGCTATGCAATGACCGTGTGTTTTATTCGGGGGAAGACGGTAGCGTGAATGTTCACTGATTAGCGTGGTGATGATGGGCACATCAAAATCGAATGAATCTACACACAAAGAAAAACGAAAAAGAAAAAAGTAACAAAAAAGAAGAGAAAAAAAGTGCGACCCTGGGAAAGGGTGGGTGGGCTGGGGGGGCGGGGCATCGTCGAGGTGAGTAGATTCATTCTATTTTGCTCATCCTATAGATGGAAGTAGCGGAAGGGCAGCCAAGGAGTTGGAGACGTACCTGTTGGCCAGTTGCTCATCCTATTGGTGGAACTCTCTCTCTCTCTCTCTCTCTCTCTCTCTCTCTCTCTCTCTCTCTCTCTCTCTCTCTCTCTCTCTCTCTCNCTCTCTCTCTCTCTCTCTCTCTCTCTCTCTCTCTCTCTCTCTCTCTCTCTCTCTCTCTCTCTCTCTCTCTCTCTCTCTCTCTCTCTCTCTTTACCCCACGCCCGTGCTTTCCACCCCACCTCCTCAGGCCGGCCCTGAGTGGCTTTACTCCGTCAACGCCAGTCCCTCCCTCGGACTGCGGCTTCGTCGCTTTTTGTTGGGCCTTCGTTGGGCCTGTGTCCTGCCGTTACGGTGGGCCTGCATCTGTGTGCACGATCGGAATAACAGGCTGGATAGACTGCCCTCCTCCCTCGTAATCCCACGCCCATGCTTTCTGCACCACCCCGACTTCGTTGGGCCCGTGTCCTGCCGTTATGGTGGGCCTGTTGTAGTCTTTAAGAGTATAGAGATATAAAATGAGCAATAGCAAAATGACAAAATTCCAGATTGCAAATCACATTGAAAGCCAGAAAGTCAAACCCTGTCCAGAAAGCAGAAATGCACTGATATTCCACCAAAGGAGAACCAAAGCACCAAACTCAAAAGTCAATGGAAGGGCACTCTTGCTACCACCCATGTAGTATGTATCCGGACTACAATCACACAGCTACCTATCCATCCTTCAAATTGACGATGCAACCAGTTGACCTCAGCAGCAATCACCAAAGTACATGCAGATGTTGATTTTCCGGACATCCTCCAAGACCAGGTACATGCCCTCACTTCATCATCCCCATCTGTCTCACTGCTCACCTTCGTTGTCTTCTTCACCCACGTCTTCTCCATACACAAAGACCACCACCACCTTCGTTGGCCGTCCAAGCCAAGCCCGCCTATGGATGGGCTGTCTATTATGCTTCGCCGCTTCACTTAGCAGCACCCTATTCCTCCGGCGTCCATGCACGCGAATGAACACCACTGCTAATGCAGAAAGCAGCCCGACAGCGCACATTCCACTAGCGTTGCCGCTTGCACATCCTAGTGCCTGAATGCCTCCCACGCTGCCCAGCACTTTCCTACATGGAAACTGGCTTGAGAGGATCTCTGTCCTCGGCAGGCCTAACAAATCTCAAGAGGCCCATTGCTGTCAATTTCGTATTTGGGGTCTAGGCAGTTGTGACGTGCCAGTGTGAGAAACTCTTTTCTGCAATCGCACGACTTTCTGCGCGAAGCGGCTTCGGGGGTTGGAAACTGGTTGGTCGGGTGGAAGATTGGTTGGGCGGACAAGTTGCATAAATACCCTCGCTTCTTTCTTTTTTCTTGTCAGGACCAGGGCCGGGAAAGTCCCGCGACGACGATGGAGTGACCGCGCCTTAGTGAGCTCGATAAATAATGGTTGCCATAGCTTCTTTCTTGTTCTGCTGTGGAAGATGGGAATTTTAGCGCGATTAGCGCGCGGGAATGTCGTTTTCAAATTTGCAATGGATGACGGGCTCTTGAAATTGTTTCTTTAAGCTTTTCCAGAATTTCTTTTTGCAAGTAGGATTTAGACTAGGAATTTAGGTGCTCTGAAATCTTGTTGCGCCGCGCTTCTAGCTCGCGCACCTTTCACTGCAGCGGGAACTGGGCTATGACTGTATCGCGCCCTTACTCCTGCATGTAATTGTACTTTTTGGCGGGCACGATTGTAACTGTACTCCTTTATTCTCTCGTGTTTCCATGCCTTTTTCCCCCCTATCGTGCATACCTCGTCCTCCACTCTAATTGGCTTGAGCGACTGCATGACCGGATCGATGCGTGGAGTGTGGCTGCGTGCCCCATGCCGCGGCTTGGCCATTCAGGCGTAGGCACTTCCTTCTCTTCCCCTTCCGCTCACGTAGGCATAATCACGGGTTCATCGCGCAAGCATGCACACTATAGATTTCGCAGCCGTGATTGGTTTGCTCTCTCAGAATTTGAAAGTTAGCGCGGTCACTGAGGATCGGCTAACAAGCAAGTGAGAAGATGAGCAGAAGTGAGTCGGGCGACCCGAGAGGCTGGTGTCGGGTAGGCGGGGTTGATGTGCGGCCCACGATGGACTGTGACGCACGCGCTAACCTGGCTTGAGTACTCGGATTAAGCGGGGTGATGACTCGGTGTTGGTGCAAGGCGACGGACTGCCCACATCGGAGGTGATGTAGCGTGGAAGAGAGACAGAAAGAGAGAGATGTGTGTGTGGGATGATGCTTTTCTCTGACCCTCTGTCTAAATTTTGAGTTCAACCTTAGTCGATTTTGTCACGAGCGTTTCCGATCTTCTTGAGAATTATTTTGGACTTTCTGCTTATGGTGCGTGTGGAATGAACTCGCACGCTTCCCTCACCCCTCCACGCTCAACCTTTGAATGAACTAGTTTAAGTCAAATTTCCCCACTCTACGCTCGGGTTGGATGCGCTCCTCATGCACGTTACGGAATTGTCAACCTTCGGATCTTGTGTGTGGGGTGGTGACCTTCCTTTTTTTCTCACTTATGTAATTTTGATAAGTGGCGTCGGTTCCCCCACCCTTCTTTTTTTTTTTGGGGGGGGGGGGGATAAAAACTCCAATCTATTCGTAGGGAGCAGCATGTGCTGGGAACCGGGCCCAGTGTCCCATATAGAGTTTACACAAGTCATTTGAGATACCGGGGCCATTACCCGGCTTCGGCTGAGAATCAATCTGAGAACTATTGAAGAAGCTCAAGATAATTAAAGGAGAGGTTGAAAAACTATAAAGACTATTGACCTCTTTTCGAATGCTCAGGGTTATATTGAAATTCGTTACCCATGTTGAGATAAAAAAGAAATGATTTTTATTTTTTTTTTTTATTTTTTTTTTTGGAAGGGGTTGTACGTACAGCCGTACGGCCATTCATACGACTGTACGATAAACCCCCCGTACGTCGTACGGAGTGTTACACAGCCTAAACCCTATGAATCCCCCGCGGCCGCGGTCGCCGCGGGCACGACCGCGGTCCACGGTCGGGGCTGCGGGCCCGCGGTCACGACCGCAGCAACCATGGACTTTGGCGGCCCATTGCGGCCAAGGGGAGAGGGGGTT